AGAGGACGTGATAAAACCAAAACGAATCAACCGATCAAGGAACGAGCCAACTGATGCTGTTGCAGACAAATTTTTATGCCAACTTTCGCAACGACAGATGAAAGGTCTTCTTCAGTTATATAAATATGATTTAGAACTATTTCAATATGATGCATCAAAGTATGTGAACTGTACAGTGACTTAAGAAAACAAGTCTGAATTAGTGTGTGTGTGTGTGTGTGTAATAATTTTGGGTTTTTCAATTATTTTTGTTTTCTTGATATGAAGTTAGGTATTTATGAGAATATAGGGTAAAAAATATATATATGATTATACATATACTCATGCAATTATATTTGCACACAACATCAGGCTTGTTCACACCATGCATGTGCATGTACACATGCACACACACAGAAGTGCCTGTTTTATCAAAATTCCACTCCTTTAAAACTTGATTGCTCAGACTTGAAGCCTTTTCTGCAACTTCCTTTTGCACCCAACCACAGATTTAATCACATTGATTGTTCAAGCAGCTATTGGTAATAACCCAATGGTATCAAGTAATCACATAGTCTACTGTCATTTTCTTTTGTGAATTTTTGTTTGCACGTAAATGGTTTCATAAGCGATGAACCACCAAGGAGCCAGTTAATTAAGCCTATGTGCCTTAGTTGATTTCTCCTTTCCTGAAGTTTTGGATTTCTTTCTACTGCTATTGATATTGATGTTATTATTGTATGGAGATTATGATTATTACAGTGTTATTAGCAATACTAATAACACTTTTTTTTAATCTTCCTGAGAGTCAAGGATAAGGGTAAATAGTTAAGCTATATGGGACTAGTAACAGACTCTTGGTGATTAATGATTTGTGGAGCCATCTACGTGTAAAGACAATCAATAAACAAAAGACACAGTAGACATGGCATGTTTTCTTGCCATCCCAGCAACAGGGGGTTAACTGTTGGAGAGAATGGTGCTGATAAGTTGATTAGATTACTAATGTTATATATGTTGCTCTGAAGTCTGAGCATGGGTAAGGTAGAAAAAGCAGAGTTCTGCTGAGTGCGTCAATACTTATTAGGATCTGATTTTCTGAGGACTAGCATTGGATTTTAGTGTCTGGAGAAAGCCATTATATGTATGTATGTATGTTTTTTTTTTTTTTTTTTTTTTTGAAAAGGAAGTAAGTGTATTAGGGAAGTAAATATGTGAAAGATCAATGTATATTTGATTGTTCTGAAGTAATGGTACAAGCTGACATTAATGACAGTGTCATGAGACAAATAAGTATGTGAGTTACCAAGGAAAGACATCAGTTGCAGTATCAACCTAGTTACTTAGAGTATTAATAAATAACCCTAGTGCAGCAGTTATTAACCTAATTGCTCATCAGGATATGAGTCAGTGTCCACAGGATGCTGATGGTGGTTATATGAGGCAGACTTTCATTCTTTGATGGTGCTTTGAAGATGGTCCCAACCATTCTTAGTGTCTTAGTTGAAAATGATCGACATCTGTAGTGCAACAGCTATTATAGACAAGGAATGGTATACAATTTTATTGGTAGTCTGTTATCTTAAGTTGAAGACTTTAAGAATCCTACTATTTATGGCATGTACATCAGCTCCTTCTGTATCAACATTTTTTCCCATTTCTTCTCCTAAGAGTGACTTGTAGGTGTTAGCATTGGTGTAACTTATGGGGGGTTCTACATAGAGATTTATTAAATTTGTCAGTTTGTTGACCTGGAATGTGCCTCCTTCAGTCTGCTCAGCTATCTTTGTTGTATAGCTTCCATCAAGACATTTTTATCACGCTTTTTCTGTGTTGGCTGGTCTTTATTTACAAAAGCATGTGTCTTCTAATCTACATTTTCAAAGATGTGCATAAATTTTGCCATAAATGACTGTAGCAAGGTTATGTGGGTGGTCAGAGAGTAAGAGCAAGTTCAGCATGTTTAATCAGCAATTTTGGAGTAAGGTATCCAAAATGCAAAAGTAAGATGTAACTAGCAATAGGCAAACAGTGTTGATAGAACTAACATGAGTGGGAATTTTGCAGCAATATGGAACTACCAAGTCTTGTATTTAATATAGAGAGCTTCTTAGTGTAGAGAATGACATGGCATCTGTCTGAAGAGTCACTCACAGGCAGTTGCTTTATACAAATCTAAGGCAAGGGGAAAGACATAAATTATCAAGGAAGTGGAAGATATATCGGCTGGACAAGAGATAGGCAAACCCGGCAGAGGGGCCTAGCTAGTTTTCCTAATACTACATCTGTTGCATACTTGGTCACATTTGAAGGGAAAGTGACTTGCACACAGTTTTGATGGGTTATACATGTGCAGATGTGGTGAGTGAATAATGAGTAGTGTATGTGATAGTTGGACAGACGTAACTTCAGCTTATGAAGGTAGAACTGATAATGCACAGGCCTTAGCACCACCACATAGGTAAATAATCCTATGTTTAGGGAACAGGACCTCCATGTTTTGGCTTCAGAGTCTAGTCACAGCTAGGGTGGAATCAAGAGATACTCAATGTGGCAGTCATACATGAGCAGGTAAAAGTATATTAACAGTTGCTGTATGTGAAATAATATATGGATATTGTTAACTGAATATGGAATACAATAGATAAATACCTTGAATGTCTATAAGAGTTCTAGTTTAAAATGAGTGGGTAACACATGAGTTAATAAAGGAGATGGAAGGACATAGCTATAGGTATGTACCAACCATTAAGAAGTAAGGGCAGCTTACACTTTATTGTGAATATTATGAGATTAGGAGAACATAAGACATAAGCCTTACAGCCAGTTGCAGCTAAGGCAGAAATGATGTTTGTACACTTTAGTGTGTTATACATGTTTGGATATGGTAGGGGAAGTGTGAGTACAGTATATGAAAATATTACTTAACTGAAAGCAAATTCCAAGAACTTCATGGCATGGTCATTGGTATTAATTTGCTGAGAGAGCAGGACAGATACGTGACTTAAGCTTATAAGAGTAGAACTGGTAACACCAGACCACCACTAACATACATTAAACCCATGTCCAGTGGAATGGTGACATAGGCCTTACTCAAGGTATACAATTAGTTTTTAAGGATATGTTATAAAAGAAAACAGTATTAAGATAAAACAGATCAAAAGAATTGTCTCCATAGTAAAAGAAAATGCAATATTATACTTGGTAAATACATTAAACTTGTTGCCAGCCTTCCTCAGATGGTCTGCAGCACGGAAATTGGTAAGGAGTGAGGGTATGCTTGTCAGATACCATTATTGAGAAATTAAAATAATGCCTATGTGGATATCAGTACAGTATGTGTAATGGTGCATTAATGTAGTAAGCAAAGGAACTGGTAAATGGAGAGAGGGATTACATTAAAAGCAGTAATCACTTAGATTTCCTTGGAAATGCTTCAGTCAGTACAAGCAGATATAGAGAGGATATAACCATAACGGATTTGTTAAACTATAAGTGCTACATTACAAAGTATTTGTGACTGGGAGACAAGTAAGTAAAGAGAAGCCCAAAGTGTGTTGCTGTGTTATTTAGAACATGCTTCCATATAGTGGTGTAACTGATGGGTTCCCTGATGAAAAAAAAAAGAAAATTTAGGGTATGCAGGAAAATTAGTTTTCATTTACTGGAAGGCATGAAGGGTAACACTAGGTACAATTTTGACTATGCCAAATTTGAAATGAATTATGATTCATTTCCAGTCATTTTTGTTTTTAGTCTACAATGTTCCTGAATGAATGGAGTATATAGATATATATGAGATGTTTGATGATCTGTCATGCATGCAGCTAATGAGCATCTGTTTAAAATAACTTTCGGTGCAACTCTTTCTTGCCTAACAGTCTTATAGATCCTATAACAGTCTCTCATTATTTTAGGTTTGTTTGTCCAGAAATACTGTTCTTGTCTGAATTTTCTTGGCTTGGGATGGATAACCTTTCAAGTAAGAGAACTGCTTCTGTGTGTATGTATGCAGATATGCACATGTATGTGTATGTAAATATACCTATAGTTGAGGGTATATTATATATGTGTGTGTATATAAAGCACTTACACATTTAATACAGTGTATGTGTATATATTTTATATCACAGTATTCTGTGATCACAACAAACATGAAACATGTCATATATCGGTGCTACATGAATGTATTCTATTAACAACCCAATACAAGATTTAGAGATTTCAAGTAAGACATTTCTATTGTTTTTATACTGATAAAATAGTTTAAAAAATAGATTTTCATAAATGTATCAGTACTTAGGATATAACAGATGAGTAAATGAATATTTATATGTGTATGTAAATTAAATATTCAGTGTTCTACAGTGTTTATATGAGAGTGTAATCAATGAGTTATTGGAAATGAAAAAAAATATCAAATATATTTAAAGCACTTTTGATATCTGGTTTTCTACAGAGATTTTTTACTAACACATTAAATGTTAAAATATAATAAATCACATACAAGTATGTGCCAGAGGATATATGTGTGTGCATGCATGCCTTAACAAATGGGACGGAATAATAGATGTTTTTTTTATACATATATGAATTATGCAACAACAGAGTTTCAAATATTTTCATTACTTTATTCCTTTTTGTATGGTTTTCGTCAAAGACAACTTTTGGTATCCATACACTAATGTATACTTATTATCTTTTAGCAGTTATGTTACATATTATATTACATTATTATATTTTGTGGTCTTGCTACCTCGAAGCAATGTAACATCTTTTACAAGCAATGCATTTTGTGAAGTGTATTTTAAGTGGATTCAACCAGTGAAGCATTTCATGTATCACACAGTAACTAGACATTGTAGTCTAATTTAAGATATATCATTTGGATAACAGAATACAATACACTTTTATATGGATTAGTGCCATTCTCTGTATGTGGTACCTAATGATAGACCTTACTAGGAAATATAGTAAATGGTCATAAGATAACAACAAATGCTGATTGTTTTTACTTGTAG